ACAAATGTGAATCAGAACTATATAGTGTGTGTGTGTCATTTATAATAAATAACTTCTGATGGTTATAACCGTCGTTCATATGATAACCGGCGTTATGGCTCAACGTGGCATCTGCGAACCTTTAAAGAATCCAAAAGACAACAGAATGTTCGAGTTGGTCGATGATCTGGTGCAAATCAAGAGAATACTCTATCCGAAATATCCTAATGCGAATATTAATATGAGTTATATTGTTACGTAAGTACGTGTGTGGTATATTTTTTATATCTTAAAATTACATATTCTATATCTTAAAGCAGAAAATTCTATTTGCGGTAAATAATCTTGTATATAATTTAATGTGACAAATGTGAATCAGAACTATATAGTGTGTGTGTGTGTCATTTATAATAAATAACACGGAAAATATGATATTTTAAAGAATATTTTTTTAATAATTGAATTAATATCGAACTTGTTGATATTTGATGCTCGATTTTTCTTCATTATAGTAAATGCCATGAAAACGAGACGCTCTACAATGTGTTGAATCTGAAAAATGTATTTGACGTTGAAAGCCTACGCGATTACGCTGGGCGTTACGACATCAATGACACCATCCAACAGTTGCGTCGCAAGATCAGTCTTTCCCCCGGTGTGGTGATTTTGAAGGACAGCGCGAGATCCAAGTTAAACGATCTAGCGCAGAGCGGTCTGAGTGACATCAAATTCTACCAGTATGCCGAGTTGCTTGCCGAAAACATTACGAATATTAACTTGGAACATCTTGCCAAACAATTGCGGGAGGTTTCCGCTAAATTGCCGGAGGGCCAGGAAGAAATCAGACTCAGTCTCGAAAAGAATGCACACGACTTGGAGCACTATCACAGAGACTTAGTCATGCCGATGGCTACGCTTAGTGAGCAATTAAGCGCAAACGCGCTGATGCTGCAGGAGAACATTAAATTCAATCATAGCTCAATGGCAGACGCTATCCACGATTTAGTGGATGAAGTTACTAAGGCGCAGCAGTTTCTGAATAAAGATGGGCCGGAATACGTTCAATATGTATGTATCTCATTCTTCTTCCATTTAGATACAAAGACATCATATTTTTACAATATTTTATGTATATATACATATACATATGGCTAAATGTAATATTAATATTATTAATATTATTGATAGCTCGCGACTAGATTTGGCAATGCGTTCTTGCATCAAGTGGATAACTTCCTCGAGCACGTGATTGAATCTGCGATTTTCAAGGTTGGAAGATGCGCTCCCGTTTCGAATGCTTACAATGCAACGCTCGTGGCAGGATGCAATAAGATCCTAGATCCATTTGTGAGTATTGTTTTACATCTTCTTAAATCTATACTTCAATTGTTGACTTTTTTATCGAAATATAGTAAATTGTCTGTCACGTAGATATTTTACAGTAGTTCTCATAAAACTTTCCAAATATTCTACGATTTTCTTAGCTGACAAGTAAATTTGTCGCGTCGCGATATTGCAAAATTAAACAGACCTTGCTAAGAATTAATATTCATGCTTCTCTATTTGCATTTATATACGCAGAACGGCTTCTGGGCGAGCGTCGGTTGGTGCTTGGTCCTATTCATACCGACGATAGTGCTCTGTGTGAAACTGAGTGCTTTGTATCAAAAGTCAGATCCATATCCAGGACCTCTTGTCGAAGCGTAAGTTTCTACTCTCCTCTTGTAGATATAGCGATTCACCACTGCGATTTAAAAACATATATTTAATTGTTTTTGATTTCTCATTCAATCTATGCATGATAATATTTGAGATACTAATGTGTCCTCAGTAGATATTATCGATCGATATCATACATCAAACATGAATTATTTATTGAATCGTTGATTAATTATCCAAACGTTGATTGCGCAAACTCAAGGAAAAAGTAGAATATAAAAAATAATGATACCTTACATTTTAAACTCGAAGAAAGATAAGGCTTTTCTTCTATCCTTTTTTCTACGAATCTCAACGAACCTTTCTAAGCACTCCTCATGTAGAAATTGTTGACTCCTTTATTTCCGTCTCGTAGCCACACTCTCGAGCTTCCATATACCATGGCATGTACTTATTCGCGCTTTGTAACATCTTTGATAGTCGGCATGTCCTCGTTTTTTCATTTATAAAGAAACTCTTCGATCCCGGAAATTCTGAAAAAATCTCCTCGCTCGAAATTGTGTTTTCTCGATCTCGAAAAGCCATTTCAAAACGAAGATAATTATTTGATAATTTTCAGTGTAATAATTTTCAGTTTAAACTTTCTTGCATAATGCATGAAAATTAACAATTACTCTAACATATACAGCTAATAGGGGTGAAATTTTGTACTATTAAACAAAATAAATTTTATAGTATTTTATAGTAGAATTACGTAGTACCTATATGAATAAATTATTTATTCGTGCTACTTTAATGTTGCAAAAATATCCCGATTACATGTCGCGATTCATTTGCGCATTTTCTTTCCAACTGCGCAAGACAAAATGAGAGATTACGGAAAATCCTCTGTTTCATACTAGAACCGATCATTCTCGCGGTCCATCGCGGTAGCTTAGCTTATGTTTAAAGTAGTCATCTAATGTGTGGAATGGTTGTTGGAATCTAACCGCTAACACGCTCCGTTACAGTGAATATTTGTATGACGCGTACGCAGACAGGGATAACATACCCCTTGCCCAGTAAGTATACCACGACAAAGCTACAATGTGCTCGCATGTCCTACGTATATTCCGAGAGATGCACGCATGTATATATAAAACATTATCATCTGAATGCGGTTGTATCGCATCATTTTTTCTATCCCGTTTTTCATTAAATTTTGGTTCAATTTTTGCTAATCAAGAATAATATTTTGTTAAATAAAATATGTTTCTTCGTTTCTCTCTTCTTCGTCTCTGACGAAGAAGAGGAGAAACTATACTATGCACTATTTAAAAGATAAATAACTTTAATATAATCGTTTTTGCGCAAATAAACCAGAAATGTGTATAGATAAGACGCTTTATATTTAAATATATTTTTAATATAGAAAGTCTCTACCGAATATTAATAATATATATTTTCTTTTTACACCATTTCTCTCTTTCTTTTATTATTTAAAAAAAAAAAAATAAAAATATATATATATTTGTACAATTTAAAGTGTTTTTATTTACGTATATTACTCTAACGTAACGTTGAATATTCTTTGTTAATATTTTGGATATTTTATACTATCGCATGTAACATGCACTCTCTTATTATATCAAGATTCTAACATTCTCGAGTTAGCTTTTAGTACGCTCTTTTATGTTATAAGATATATTGCGTGATATATATGAATCTCGTTACGCGCATTCTGGAATTATTTGCTGCTTATTCAATTATATTTCTATTATTTGGCATATATTAATAATTTTTGCTTATGTAGGAGCTTAACTAGGAAAAACACATATGCGGATAGATGACGGCTTTTAGATTAAACATATAGCACCGGTTATAATAATCTGGGAAGTGTTGTTTAATCATAGGACTGTATACTGATTGGATCTACATAATAATTGGATAGTCTGACAACAAATATTTTTATTAAACTTTAATTATAACAAAGAATTAAATCATTCGTGTGCAGTTCTGAGACTAACACACTACCCAGAAAAGTGTTTCCCAATTACTCTAGAAATCCGTATAAAGCGTCAAGAAATGTAATTAAGACGTTTTATGCGATATTTTACCAAATTTAAGGCTTTTCGGCGGGCAAGATAGATTGGGAAACACTGATCCAAAGGTTTTTAACTGATACACCGCGGCTTAGCGCGTACAACACATTTGATCTCTAACTCGCATGACGAGTGCTCGCTTCATTCTAACATTTTAAGTACAACATTATCGTGTTTGATTGCAGCGTTCACGACAAGAAGCACGTCTCCCATAGCAGGCATCATCCTGCGGCATACGTCGAGAGCTACGACGGTCCAGCAGTGGGATATAGCGAGCGCGAGAGGATCCCCGACGCCCATCAGAGTACGTCGCATCATGATTCGAGATATTCCGATCTGGCACCGAAGTAAGTTGGAGTTTCGGGCCCATTATTACCTCATATTATTCCACCATGGGATTTTCTGGGAAAGCAATTTTCTTCTCGATAATCTCGTAATCGACACTAATATGTACATCGATTATAAGTTAAAAATGAGACAGGGCTTAACGTGACATGGTGGTGACGTGACGTTACGTTCACGTAACGTCGCTCTGAAAAATTTTCTCTTTCTCTTTTTTCTCTCATCGTTTCATCGGTCACGTCTGATTTCTTTACAGTTTCACCCTATCGTGGCGAAACCACGAACATACCGCCCCTTCCAAAACAGAACCTCACAATAAAGTCTTTAGCGTATCACTAGAGTCGCAGTAAGTCTCTAATCAGAGCGATAAGCAATAAAACAGCTTTTTGTGATACGTAATGCTTTCACCTTGTTTGAATATATCAAACCTCTGGCGAGATTGAAATATCTCTTCGTCATTTTCTTACTCGGCACGAACAGGGTTCCCACTCATCGAATGATATCGCATCATTTCCATAGCTTATAGAGCTCGGACGATCGATGTTGCTTCGCGGTTTTGGTGGTATAGAAGAACAAATTTCATATCAACACAATCCCAATGATGGAGCATGTGATATTCGTACTTCTATCCATAGATAAACAAAACAATGTCGATTGTTTCGACTCCATGATTTAATGCGTAATAATGACGGTTTCTGAGGTTTAATTTTCTAATTAAATTGTAATATGATGTGTCGACGGCATTTGATGCAATCCCGATGGTCACGATTTTTCTCCCGGTTATTTCCAGGTGAGTGGGAACTCTGCGGGGGGTCGACCTCTCGCGTCTCTCACGTATACGCCTCTGCACGTAAGTCGCAAAGACTATTGTTACAAATGTTTCTGCGTCCTTCTTCTGTGCATTCATTCGATCTATTTATTTTCTATTCCATTTTTTTAATTGGTCACGAATAGCTTTGCAAGAGAACTAGGCTTTTCGCAAGATATATTTATATATAACAAGTAAGAAACATGTGAAACAGGGTCCAAGTAATTGTTCAATTCCCTCTCCATTATAAAGACGCTTATCTCATTGACTGGACTATGGAATATATAGTAGTATATTTAATAAGAGAAGCAGTTATATACATCAGATGTGTTGATGTAAATTATTCGTGTCGTGCAATGTCTATCCTGTAACGTTAATTTTTAGCTTAAAGGTATTTTACAATTTTCCTTCGCGGAGAAGCATGTTTATTCTCTCCAACGTATATTGTGATTATATTTTATAATTATAATCGAGACAGTCAAGTTACGTACGATCTTACTTTCATTTCGCTTGTTGGGCAGCTGCTATATCATATGTTAGTTTGCAAATGGCATTTTACTGTGGCAAGGACACGATAGATGCGTTACGTTTAGCCCTTTCACTGCCAAAACCCACTTGTAGGTGATATTTTTTTTTTATGGCGATCCGGCCGGGCAGCTGAAAGGGTTAAACGAATGAGTACAACTCATTAGAAAATGCAAATGCTATAACTTAATTTATAATCAAAGTCGAACGTTGAATGCGACTCAAAATAATTATCGAACTCATGAATGTTGTTATTACAGAAATTGGGACTTTCCCAACGGTGGTCCACCAAGGTATCAACCAGCTGCCGCGGCTCCGCCTCCCTTAAGCACCGAATATGAACGACCGCCGCCCTATTACTATCCTGGACCGGGGCAAGTATCTCCGAATATCGATAATATTTGATTCTGTAATGGTCACTATCATTTTTAACTGCTCTTTTCAAATAGTTTTAGATAAACAGTTTAAAAAGTATCGCTCTTTGCAGTAGCTGATTATAAATTTCAAGAGAAAAAAAAAACATTCTTATTCTGTGTTTCAGGGATAGAAATTAGGAAACAAGTACCGTGGCATGCACGAAAACTGCACTGAACAGTGTGGCGACGCACAGCCTCACCCGCAGCTACAAACGAACGCTCAAGAAGAGAGACAAGTCAGGATTTAAAAGAGACTACGTATAATACTTTGTTCCCGTTTGTTCCCGAGCGTGCCACGGTTTGTGCGAACACCAAAAGTTAAATTAAAGACCAAGTTTGATACAGACTGAAATAGGCCAATGATCCTTTCGCGACATCTTTCTTTTTTTCCTTCTACGGAGCGCAAATGACATGTGATGCGACGCGAATTCTTCTTTTAGTATTTGCGTAAGAATTAATACTCGTATGTTTCAATACCGCGGAAGGAACATCGTTCTAGATTAATGCGATTTGATTCGAGAATATCGAGTCTCCCCGTTTCTTTTTTTTTTCAATGTAGAAATAGGGTTGGATATTCAGTTTGGTTCACTTGACATTTATTTTCAAGCAATATCAAATACTTGTATTTCTTTGCATTTTCTCTCAGTCAAAATAATCATACAGCACACGGATAGAAGAAAAAATCGATCGAGAAGAAATCAAAAGCGAACAAGCCGATGAGAAAAAAAAGAGGGGTCCTTTCTTTTAACAATATAAAATGACTGTGCGATGTGAAAAACTGCGCATATCTAATCGGTCGAATTATATAGCACAAATTATATGCTGCCAATCCAGTGCATCGTTTTCCGTAAAGGGCATCCGTTATACATATATATATTAATACCGGATCCTGTCGATTCACCTCTTTGAGCACTGAGCAACGCCATATGAAAATGCCAAACGACACATGTGTGATTTACACACTTTCGAAGATACGCATCGAGTGTGCGCTATGAGGTTTATCACTTTGGATCTCATTCGTTTAGCTGAGAGGACAAAAATACGTTAGAAATTGAGTATTGATTATATTCCGCCAGTGTGCCCCCACTTATATATGGCGGAGAGAGAATTTCCGAGTGGCCGTGTATGTATATATATATATGTATATATATATATATATATAGTCACTCTATTATAAATACTCTGTGTACATGGAATTTTAAGTAGTCTTTTCTTACTACTATCTTATTGTGTAACTTGTCGATATAAACGATGAAGCAATTCTTACGCCGCGTAGATCGCGTCTAATTAATCTTCGTTTAATCTCGTATCTACGCGTCATATGAATCCTTCGATGTGTGTATTATTGCAGCATCCGTCGTCCATTCGGGTACAGTAATTAATCAAGCACACAAATGTGCATGTAGTTTCTTGTTCATACATAATTTATATATGACGAATCTAAGAATTTACGTAGTACATTACTGTTATGAACATTGTTTTTATATTCAATCAAGAATTAATTTAATTATACAGTTTTTGCTTTTAGGAAACTGATAATATATCTATATCAACACAAATTCTTAGCTAATGGCATTGTCACTTAAATCCATCAAGTTCATTAGGAACTCAACTCCGCTAGAAACTAGAAAACCAGTTATACTCTACTACTTTATGAAAAAAAAAAGATAAATCATTTACTTTTTGTCAATAGTATATGTATCACTTCTGAAAAATTCGCTTATTTATAAAAGATTCGTCATTTAATGTAAGCTTACATTCTCGATATTGTTACAAAGAAAGAAAAAAAATCGAAAATTTCGTAACATTGCTGTAACTCGAAGACAAGGGACATTATGAAGGATGTTGCGGATCAATGAGTAGAAATGGACCGACACCGAAGCGCTCCGGCTATTGCTCTCGCACAGAGCAGAGATTGATACCGATATAATTTTGTTAAATTCATATTTTCATATCGTGTGCATGATCCTTATTCGCGAATAAAAAAAAAATATTAAACATTTGATATAAAGTCTTTTCTCGCATACATTTTTAAAGTGTTCGAAAATTAAACTCGAAATTATACCGGTTTCAATCCTCGGTACAAAGTTCTCAGAGCTAACGTGACAAGTATGAAAGCAAAACTCATATTTTACCATCTCTGTTAGAAAACACATGTTTTTTGAAAATGTTTAATGAAAATTATTTCAAATTTTGTTTTTATTCAATTTTCTTTGCACACTATGAGTTTCGCTTTGATATTCCTGTATACATATATTACATGCCCACCGTGCTTGAGCGCCAAGTATTGGAATTAGAATTGGCAGAAAGTTAGTCGCTATTTTTCTTCATGCATTGTATGTAAAACGCGGTGTGAATGGGGAAAGTACGAAAGTGCTAGAATAATAATGAGAAAGAGCGCGCAAGTGAAAAGTGAATGAAAATGTGTGTTTATGTATGCATATGTGTATGAAAGAGAAAGAGAGAGAGAAAGATAATTGTCGCAATTTATAACAAGATAAAATTTTGCAAAAATCTCCGCCGTATCATTACCGTATCTATACTAGTAACATAATCCTGCTAAATCTTACGTCTTAATCTATCGATATTCGACACAATGTATGTATGCATTACGCGACTCGAAAGGAATAATGATGTTTAAATTAATGGTATGTACTAATCGAATATAATGTGTGGATTCTCTCGTCAAGCTCTTACATCCGCCGATGCCTCAAGCATAGAAAAGCAATGAAGCGTGTTTCGGAGAACGAGTGCTGCCACACTAGCATGATATTATCCAACAGATAAAAATCCGTAGCATAGTGCACCTGAAATTCCGCCGAAAAGAAAAAAAATGCGAAAACGCTGAAATTTCTCGATGCTATTTTTATAACGTAACGATGGTGTAGTAATGACTTGTATCGGGCACTCTTTCTCCACAAACACATCAAGTAAACGCGGTGTAGAGCTATGGATCGAAAAGAGATTGTTCTTTTCCTCACTTTTCCGAAAGAGATTGTGAAATCAGCAGAATCGGACTGGAGAGAGAGAGAGAGAGAGAGAGAGAGAGAGAGAGAGAGGACATTGAATTCTTGGATATATTCAAAACACATCTCTATCAATCTCTATCATATTCTACATTTATCATTATGAACATACAAAGATAATCCAACTTGAAAAGTTTAATATATACTTTGTGCGCAATCGTTTTATCTAAAATCCTTTGACAATTTTGTGATTATATTGATTAATGTATCCATAATTAAATATAACTTACTATAGATGTTTTTTCCTCTCCAATCCGATTCAAGAAACGATAGAATTTCTTGATCTGTCATGATATTGTTGCATTAATGGTTAAATGTTAGAATATTTACTCCTGTCTGCTCAATTTCACAGGATACTATGTATGAAACAGCCAACTGGTATCCTCTTCTTCCTTCTTTTGCCCCTCCCTCCCTCCTTCTTTTCATATTAAATCTACTGTCATTTCACCGAGAATATTTTTGATAAACTGCAATCTATATATAAACAAGCAAGTTTTACACATATTAAGATACTTGCGGTTTTTCAAAAATAATTTGTGTATGAAAGATTGGTGGAATAGAGACAAGTGTACGAAAACTATTGCCATGATGACTATGATGTTTTTATAACTCACCGATTGTGTTTGTTAAAATTATTATTATTACTATTATTATATTATTGATATTATATTAAAAACATGAGTGTACTACACCAGTTTAAATATATCTATTTTATATTAAATCGATAATAAGGCGTTTTAATCCATATCACAGATTTCTGATTTTATTAAATCATTTATAAGACGTATACATATCAAGAATTCACATATTGCATTGTTGTTTCATGTATAAATAGAAAATTATAACTCGTCATTACAACAAACATATCAATTATTGTATTTTCTCTATACATGCGTTTAACATTTTTTATAACACTATTATTTTATAAAAAGATTATTGCATTTTTTTCGGACGGAATCGATAATCATGATATTTGATTATATTAACAGTTTACTCTGTTATCCTTTCCCCATTTACGCATAACGCGTATTATCTGATCCACTTGGGAATTGGATGTGTTTTTAAGAAGCTGTATCACGTCTGACAATAGTTCTCTGTACAACAAAGAACAAAATTTATAAATTAATCGATTATGTCCTTTACAATCTTTTTACGAATGTAATATATGCGGATCACACATACTTTGGTAATTTTTCTGCAACGATGTATTGAAAAGTACCACAGCATGCACCGCGCTTTCCTTCCCAATGTTCAGGACTTGGATCCATGCGCTCCAGCATATCAAAAGCTTTTGCAGCATACCAAAATTCACCTACCTTGTAACACGCATTGGCAATCAATTGAAGAAGATTGAAGGATTCCGTCGATGTGTCCATCTTCAAATATAATTCCCAGGCTAGTTCAGCTTTTTTATTCATTACATCTGAATATAAAAGCAAGTAATTGTCAGATTATTATTACATATATAATTTGTACAAGAAAACTAATAAAAAATTATACAAATATATATATATATGCTTACAACAATACGACAGAAGACTGATGTAAACATAATCGTTTTTATATTTTTCAGTACGTATCATCAGAAAAGCTTCCTCTGCTTCTTTAAAGTAGCCTGCCCCAGTTTGTGCTTGCGCATAATTAAAATTAAAATTGTCCTGATTGGAGAAGTATGTCTTTATAGAATTTAGATATAATCGAACTCGCTCAAATTGTCGATAAAGGAAGAAGAAAGAGGCCATGCATTGTCTACCGGGTATAGTATCGCATTCCGACGCTGAAGAGCCCACTAATTGAAAATATTGCTGTGCTGTTTTTATGCTGTCGCGCTAAAGAAATTTTCAATAAATGTAATGAGCTTTAACGTTATATAATTAAGACGCAACTAAAATCTAATGGCGATCTAATAGTACATACAGAATTGGCCTCCTGACCCATAACAGCATTTACTATGCCCTTTAAAATATATTCTTGCGGAACTGCAGGTTCCAAATCTTTTATCAAATCATAGGCTGCTTTGACATCATCTTGTTTCAAATAATATATCACTAAATTAAGCCTAGCTTCTGGTATAACATCGACCAAGTTAGGTA